GCAGTTCTGGGAAGCCACTGTGACCAATGCTGTGAGTAATACTAGGAAACCAGTAAAAAACAAATAGCAAAAGAGCTGCGCAACTGTGCAGTGAGGCTGAGAAAGCTTGACCCAGTCCCAAAGAGAAAAGGAAAGCTCTGAGAAGCTAGTCAGTGCCCATAGTTTTACCAAGCAAAAGTTTAGAAGTCCTTCAAATATGAGCCAATATGTAAGCACATATTTAACTCTACCCCAAGGGGAACTGCTTTCAAAGCAGAAAGCTCAATGCTGGCAAGATTGAGCTCTAGTGAACACCTTTCCTCTCTGTACAGCACACCTGAAAACCCAGGTCATGCCAAAGGCCCCATCTGGGCAGCACTCGCAGGTCCCTTTCGAAGCAGCAGCTCTGTGGCAGGAGCAGGTTGCTCTGCCTTGCTGCTGGGAGAGCCCAAGTGATCACGGCCCAAGGGACACAGCCAGGCCACCACATTACAGAATAGGTCCCCTGCCTCTCTCCGAGCCTGGCTGGAAAGCTGCTCTCCAGAGAGACACTCGGGCCTGAGCTCCATACAGAGGGCTTTGGAGGAGAAGTCTTGTTGCTGCAGATATGCCACATGCTGAATAAAACTGTCACCGTGGGTCCACTCCCTCGGCAAGTGAGGGTCTCTCATGCAGGGCTGTGTGCAAGTCCAGCCTCCACCTTCATAACCTGCTGAGTCTTCCCCATCTCTTAAGAAGTATCTCACACAGTGACATTGCAAACTGTGACTAGGGACATTCCCGGGATTTGTGATGTGACTTTGGTTGTGCCTGCCTGCAGGACAGCCCCAGGGCTGTGCCTGAGGGGAGCTGCAGGTGGGAGGTTTTGGTGGAGCGCCTGCACCTGCGCAGCGCCCAACACCCTTGGGACAGTGCTGACCTCCTGCAGAGCTGAGCACAGGGGGCCCTCCTGCAAGGCGGGAGGATTGCAGGATCTTGGATGCCTGTCTGGAGATGGAGCAAGATGCACGGTCCCTGCCGCGTTTCAGAAGCAAACTGGTCTCGGAGATCTCCTGAAATCAGATTTATCTGATACAGCATAGACACAGCCAAATTCCCCTCCAGCCTATTAGGTATTTCAAATCAACTCTACCCATTCTTCAGGTCGACACGAGATGAAAAGCTCACCCTGCAAACTGACTGAAGTTGAAGCCACTGACACTGTGTGATGATCCAAAACTAGGGTAAAATATCATCAGTGCCTTAAAATTAGGGAGAAATCTGACAAATCCAAAGCATTTCTTGAGAGCGAACACCTACTCAAGGGGTGCTCCACTTCAAACTCAAGCTCTGAGGCAAAAAGCAGCAGTACAATCCTTAGAGTATTTAAAAACGAAATTAAGTCATTATTTATAAAACCAAGGGGGAATGTAAATTGAGCATCATTAGTTTGCACTGAGGACTGAAGGCAATGCAAACCAGCAGATTTAGTGTGTGAGACCAAAAGGAAGAAATCAGCCTACAGGACAGGGACACCCTCAGGCCCAAGCTCCTCTCCAAAGCCCTCCAGCCCTTGGAGGGGGTTGTCCACAGAGTGCCAAGCTCACCCGGTGTGACCACTGCCCACCAGCAGGGACCCACACTGCACTTTGCTCCACCTGAGCTCTCTGTTATTTAAGAGCATTGATTGTCTCCTAGCAAACACATTTGAGTAAAAGCTGTAAAAAAAATGTAATCTTGATAGCAGGGAACTTCCCTGCAGCGTCTGCTATTAGCTGTTGGCTGAGGCAAGGAAAGACACTGCACATTTTTGGCGTGCACGGAGAAGCGTGTGGTCTAGAGAAGCACAGATTAGTGAGGCTTGACTGTTATCTTAATTTACAGCCCATATAGCTCATGTTAACTCCACACACATTTTTAGATACGTTAGCAGCTTAGTTTGCCTCAGATAGATGATACTTTCCCTGGTTATTCGCCATTTCCCCCTGACAAGTTATTACTGACTTTGCAAGCGAGCTCCCTACAGCAAGACCTGAAGCCCTGTCAAGGAAAAGGAGATGTCAACAGGCTTCTCAGTGGTGCTCAGCTTACGGCCCCGCTCGCTGCCTTTATTTTCTGCCTAAGCAATCATTAAAGGAGCAGTAGTGTCTATGCAAACAGTGATTGTACTGCTACAAAAAGGGGCAACCAGCTCCAGATCTAACTCAGGAAAATCTCCGCCTCTCTCTGACCACTTGGAAAAAGAAAAAAGAAAAATAAGTCCCCAAGTTAGTGCTGAGAACTGAGGCCCTCCTTTTCTGAGCAGGCCCTGGTGGCCAACGCGGATGGTCAGGCAGACATTGCCCGTCTCCTCTGCTCCGACACTCTCTCCCGTTGATGACGTTTTCAATAGCGCTTTCAGAGGTCACCCTACTGCTATCTGCATTTGTGTTAATGAGCAAGGAGTTTTGTTTATATACAACAGCTGCTCCTCTGGCTGACACAATGTGGGAATACACCTCACCATGGCTCACGGGGACAAGGAGCAACACGAGCCGGGATACAGCGTCTGACAGTAGATTAATTCCCATAATGACTCCAAAGACCCAGAAGAATGCCAGGTCTTGACCTGGGTGGGCTCTGCAAGATTAACTCGGACAGAGATTAAGGCCTTACAGTGCAGATAAAGCCTGACCTGCCAGCCCCGGTGCCACACACTGTATGGCCACGTGACGAGGCCATGTGCAATTCCCATCGAGCTGACACCCAGCGCGCGCACCGCAGCCGAGCGCGCGCTCGAGGGAGAGCTGGTGTCTGTGACACGCGCTGACCCCAGCGCGGAGCCGGGTCAGGACGATGCAGCCCCTGCTCTGCACTAATAAAATAAATCACACCCAGAGGCAGCTGCTCCTCCCAGCATCTCTCGTTGTGCCCTGTAAGACTTTGCTGCACTAAGAAAAAAGACTTTCTGTTCTCGACTTAATGTATTTATTTGCCCTTCCATGTTACTTAGAGGTTTTCTTAAGTGTTTTTTTTTTCCCAGTATTCTCATGTAAAGCCTCCAAATTGTTTCCCTGTCAGTGTGTGTAGCGTGTGGTTTACAGTACAAAGACCCAATTGATGCTGCTTTGTCACTGTAAGAAGTTAATTTTACTTGTGGGGCTACAAAAGGAAGAAGCAGTTGGCAGCTCTGAGGTCAGCCTTGCCCCACGCACTTCCTAAAGGGATATTTTTCTAAATAAAAGAAAGCATTTAACCAGTTAGATCAGCACTAAGATGTGAAAGTGCCTGAGACCAGGTCTAGCCTCCTCTTGTTTATTCTCTCCCCACCAGTATTCCTGACTTCATATGCAATTAATTTCCTAGAAAACACACAGACACACTTGGCCCCTTGACATTCAAGCCTATGGCAAAACTATTTTCAAGCTTCCCTTATTGCAGAACTATCTCATTAGTGCTGCAGCAAGAGGGTGATGGTTTTTTCCCTCTGTGCCATCAGCCCAACCCAAGAACAACCTGACCTGGTGCTGCTGAGGCAAAAACTTCCTTTTTAACACAGGTAGGGCCTGCTGGGCCCCGAGGTGGCTCTGGGAATTGCACTGTGGCACACCAGCATCTACTCACACCTCTTCAGGAGTATCAAAGCCAGAGGGCTGGTCATTTTCTTTTCCTTGCTGAGCACAAATATTCATATTCAACTTGCTTTCGGATACATTTAAAAATCAATAAAAGTTCTGGATGGCCGGCAACAGGGCAGAAAACAGTGCCAACTTCCTAAACGGATACATGTAGCACACACATTGACCATGAAATCTGGCTAAAACACAGCAATACCTACTTTATGCTATTCAGAAACGTGGTTTGGCGACCAAAATTAACAGAACTTGTCTGAAAGGCAGCGTAGGCTTCTATGAGCTCTTTCAGCCCTAACTTAAGTCCCAGTTTTGTTTTGTTTTTCTTCATAGCTCCAATATATGCAGCAGCACGCTCGCCCATTCACCCAGCGAGCTGATGAAACCAGCCTTCCTTCCAGAGCTGGAATGTCGGAGCACATTGGGAAACCTGCTGGGGAATCAGACCGGGAAAACAGACTGTTTGGCTGAACGAATACCCTTTGGAGCTTCTCTTCACCATGACCACGTGCATGTGTATGTGTGCACACACACACACGTGTGCCTGCGCCCTTCCTGCCTTTCCTTTGCAATCCTATTCCTCACTGTAATAAACAACTGACACAGCAGTGGCAACGCGCTCTATGGAAGGATCCTGGCTTTCTCAACAAGGAGAAGGAACACATTTCTGGCCCTGTTCTCTTCCAATAGTAATTCCTCAGCTTTCATCCCTGCATTGAGCTGAGGAGGCTTCCTGATCTCTCCTCTTCCTGCAGAGATTTTATCCCTTTGCGTGTGAAAGTCAAACTAACCTTGTGGCTCATGCACTCACTTTAGCTCTAACAGCAGAGGAAATAAAGGCACGAGCTTTTCAGGTGTCTGGAAAGGAAAATGTGTGCATTGGAGGAGGAGGGGAGCAATACTGAAGAATTCCTGCTTGACCAGCTCCAAAAGACTCAACCAGCCCAACTGCGGAGATCTCTTAACAGCAGAATCACCACCGGCCTCTTAAGTAAGTTGTTGATATTTTGTTATACTGCTAAAAGGAGAATGGGACGAGAGAGAGAAATCCCAGGCCAAATTTGAAGTGCACATTCAAATGCAACCTGCTGAGTTCCCAGAACAGCAGCACCTACTGTAAAACTCTTCTGTGCAGAATGCCATGCAATGCACACAGCTGCCCTACCGAGCAGCCCGAGCTCCACAACCTCGCTTTGAGAGTAAGCTATTAACTGGTTTTTAGATAGTTGAGATGATAGAGTCATAATAAATTCCATAACAGGACAAGAAATATTCTATGTATTTCATTGCTACCATGTTATTCTATCAGGAGAAGGCAAATAAGCATTCTTTGCTGCAGATTGCATTTTCATTGTAATCAAGAGTTTTGCGCCAAATTGTTAAAAATGTCTCATAAACAGTCAATATTGGAGAGAGTAAAGTTTGCATGCAGCCATGTGCACTTGGTCTGTGTGTAGCAAAACAGGAAATCTCAGCACCCCTGTTCCAATTAAGCAAAGGCTGATTTCTCATGGAACATAAATTTTCTACTTTTCTCCCAGAACAACCTAATGCCAATCTTTTAAACAGTGGTAAAAGATTGTTTTTAATTTCACACCTCACATAGCACAGTCAAATGCTTCATAACAACATGAACCAAAGTTTAGGCAGAGCTTTGCAACTGAATTCAAACAATGATCCCCCCCGCCCGCCCCCAATATGTACTCAAGGTTTGCAGGGACCATGTGGAAACTTGTTGGCTAAGGCCACAGAAACGAGTTCTCCGGTGTGTTGGCTGCTGCTGCCAACCTTAGTCACGGATGCGTTAACAGTGGACGCATCGATCCAAATCCCATTATTCCCACCACCAATCAAGGAAAGAATCGTGTGTTACTGCACTTCTGCTCTCCGTTTGGTCGTGTCATAGGATCGAACAACTTCCGACTGGGAAACAACACCGTGTTCTTCTTGAGAGAATGCATACCCATCTGAAAGAGCAAAGGAAGGAAGAACAAATCACTAGGGTTCAGCTCAAGGGTGCAGCCCATTTTTAGAAACAGTTCCCTTTAGAACCACTTAGAAATGGCACTGCTGAAGCTACACAACCGAGACCGCACTGTCCTCGTGGCTCAGATGCATTTCCAGCATTTAGTGCATGTGGCTCGAAAGGACGGGGGGTGCTGCCAAATCTGCTGCCGCGTCACACCAGGTTAGTGCGCAGGCCAACCCTTCCCTGGCCAAAAAACTAGAGCTGGACTTGGACACCATGTTAGCTGCCACGGGGGCAAAACAAGGGACCTTTAAAAACTTAAGAGATAGGTAGACACCTGCATTTTTGCTCGTCTCCTCTATAGGCTGCTTGATGAGATCTGCAGTTTCCCTGGAGGAACATGAAAATGTCTAGACCACAACTGCCATGTGAGTCACATCTTCCTTGTACCACCACTCAGGACTTTTTTTTTTTTTTTTTGGGGGTACAAATTTCCAGGTGGCATTTGGCAAATCACACTGAGAAACTTGATTCCCTTAGCCAGTCTCTCATGCCTTGAAAAGAAAAAACATCAACACACTCTGGAGGAAAATATCTATTTTGTTAACACAGTCCTCTGACCTTCCTTGAAATTTTTAAAATTAAAGAAAATCAGACATACTCATCTAAGTTATATGGACGAAGCAAGTGACGTGTCTGACGTCATCTGGAAAACAAATTACCGGTAAAGCAATCTCAACAGCTAAAGGGTCAACATGGTGAAACACCGAACAATATTTAAACCAGACATGACCCTGCAAAAACTGCTGAATGGAAAACTAAAGCAAAGGAGAGCAAGTTCTGTGACACAAGGGAACAGTGATTTTCACTGAAAATGGGCAATTGCAAGGGAAAAAGAGGAAGACAGGGAGATTAGGATTGTCATAAAAGAGAAATAGGAAAGTCATAGCACATACCGAACCAGATAAGGCTTTGCACTAAGCAAGCAAGCCAAGAGTTAACAGATGTGATCTCTGCCTGGAGAAGCCCAAGGATGACACCAAGGATGACACCATGACTCCCACCTGGGAGAGTGGCCTTCTCCCTCCCTGCAGTGCTGTGAGCAGGAGATCAGGCACATCCCGTGACTTTGGAAATCCTCTGCCAGGTCTGTGCTGAAGGGGACCTTGCAATTGCCCTTCAGGTGGCCCCCTCAACCGTCTCAAAGCTTTTTTCCCCCCAGATCACACACCAGGGTGAAACAGGGCTGCAGCAAGGCCCAGAAGGGACTTTGTAACAAAAGAGCACATCACTCTCTCAAACTAGGGGCGAAGGGGTGAGGTCCCTACAAACCCTGGTCCATGAGATCTCCACTGAACCATGGAGGTAACCTCTGCCAGTAGATGGAAGAGAGTTACAGAGTCATCACCCAGAGCTAACTCCAGGCACTTTTCCCTCGCGGGGTGATTGCAGCATCACAGGAACTCTCAATTGATTACATGACTAATCCCAGCATCCCTTTTTATTCCCCTTGACCATTCCATGCTAATATATGTGCAGCTACAGACATGCACGTTGTTTTTTGCTGCCTCTAGCTGAAGTTTCACAAAATATATTCACAAAATTCAAATTCTCTTTTGGAGAAAGTATATGTATACCGGATAACTGCAAAGGAAAAATGACTTACAAAAACAGGCGTTAAGTTAAAAAAGAGTGGACTCACACTTAAACAAATACCCTCAAAGGGTTTGTTCCACTCTACGGGCCAGTATACTGCTGTTTTTTGGTGGGGAAGGAGAGGGCAAAAATCTCAGTGCAAAGTCAGTTTGGGGAAAGGCCGCAGGCCCCAGGGGACGGCAGGCCGTGCCCGCGGCCTGGCCTGCACCGAGGCCGCGTTGCTGCACTCCCTCAGCCAGCAGTGTCCGCGGGGCAGCGCGAGCTCCCGCAGGAGCAGCGCTCACCGCGCGCAGCGTCCGCCGGCCTCAGCCCTCTTTCCATTACTGCGTATTTCCCGTGTCAGCACAGGCCCATAAACAGCTCGTCAGCCCAGGGCCTCCTCAGGGCCAGGGCAAGGCGCAATCAAAGAGTTCTGTGTTCGACTCGCACACCAGCAGAAAACCTGGTGGGCTGCAAATTTTTGCTGCCTTAGGAGGACCAATCCTAGATCCCCACGTCCTCCATCCATCCTGACAGAGCAGCCACCAGGATGCTTGGCACACACCATGGGAAAGCCCACGGCCCCAGTGCTTGCGTGTTCCCTCCCTTCAGTCAAAGCTCAACCTTTGGATGTTTGTTTAACTTTTCGTGTTGATCTCACTACGGGAAGGTGATTCCACATCAAGCAGGTCTTTTTTTAATGGAGCGTCAAGCTGTTCATGCCGCTGACTGAGCCTCGCTGCGCGGCACTGCGCTGCCTTCCCGCTCGTCCCATCCCAAAGCAGTGCAAGTTTCCATCTGCCAGCGAGCAGGGAAGTCAGGGAAGAGCCCGAGCCTTCCCGGCTGGGGCTGGGAGCCCAGAGCCGCGCGGGCAGGGGAACAAGGTGCTCTTTGTGCGCGGCCGCGCCGGGCTCGCCGGGACGACCCGCAGGACGAGCCTCTGCACCGCAGCGCGGCCGTGCCGCCTCCTCAAGAAGGGGGACGGGGGCATTTCTGACAGCGGGGCTCGCCTGCTAGGGGGAGATTCGCATTCTCTTCAACTCTAAGGTTTCACCAGCAGCAGATATTATCGCAACCTATTGAATTTTAAAAGCACCTTGGGTTTTTGGTCTTTTTTTTTTTTTAGCTTTGATATTCTATTAGCAGATCAGCATCTAGACTCCCCTTAGGTTTCTAAGTTAACAGAACTTCTCTCTGTTCACTGCAATGACTATCCTGCTCAACCCGATCCTGGGTTATCCTCTGAATACCTATGCCCTGCGCGTGCAGGAGACATGGTTTGATCCCAGCAGCCCAAGAGATGCAGACCCAGGCCCAAGGGCTCTCACTGCTCCAGGACTCCCGCTCTGGGCAGGACTGTGCAGCTCCGGGCACTCGGAGACCTGCTCCGGAGCCTCCTGCCCCTCACATCCTCACCTGAGAGGCTGCAGCCCCGGGGTGTTTAAGGCGAAGCAGCACGAGGGAGGCCAGTTCTCCCGGAAGCCTCTTAGCTGCAGAACTGTTTCCCCTCTTGATCTAAGCCTCTCTGACGAACGTTTTACTATTTCACACGTGCAGTGTTATCATACTTCAGCACAGGCCCAAGCATAACATGCATTTTACCATGATGTTGTTTGTCTTTGGAAAAAAAAAATGCCCAGATTCAGATGCACCAGAGTGGCATTTTGGGAGGATTTGGAGGAACTTTGTTTTTTTAACACTTTTTTTTTTTTTTTAGGAAGTACTACTCCTTAGATATCAAAATAGCCCTGAAAAAATAAAAAACAGTGTTAGAATATGGTTTGGCCAGCCAAATTCTCTCTCAGGCCAAAAGTTGGTTCTGCATAGCTTTGAAAGGGGAGTTGCTGAAATGTCATAGTTCATATTTACCAATCAAAGAGTGAACGCTAACTCAGCATGACTTCTCAGGGACCCCTCTCTTCAGCTTGTCCTGGGAAAGTGAGAGCTGCTTTGTCTTGTGTCTTGGGCATTTTGACTATTACTTACAGAAATCATTCATTTCTCTGCTGATAAACTGTGCCTCTGGGTTTTCTAAAGAACCCAAGAGAAATTCCTGAAAAATGGTTCCATAACTGTCTTTCTGGAAATTAAACTACTGATACTTGCATGTAGAAAACATGGAGCCAGATGCGACAGCATCAATTCTAAATTATTTACCTTTAAAAAGAAAAAAAGAATGATTGCAACTCATCTTGACCATCAACAAATAGCTAGCTGCCTTTTAAAAATACCAAATATATATTAATTCAAGTGCATTCAGTATGAGAGGAAATCGAGTTTAGAAACATCTCAAATAGCTATGCTGTTGTTCTTGAAATCAAAATGTGCCAAGAGAAAAGCGAGAGGAAGAAGGTGCCTGCTAGAGGAGAATAAATGGTGGGATTACAGCCCTCAGCATGAACACGTTATTATTATTTATTATTCACCAGCCCTCATGCTGTGAAACGAACCTCGGATGACAGGTGCTTTTTCTCCATTGATTAATAAGGTGCAAAGCAAACCCTCCTTGTTCGGATTTACTCCATACTCTGTCAAAGGAAGAGGGATTTTCTCTGCTCGCGTAGGAAATCTGGGCCGGGCACCGCAATCCTCGTGCAGGGGCAGCTCTCCAGCTTCGGGAGCTCAGCTCTATGGTTAGGACCATGGTGGGACCAGTCACAACCAGCCAGTGACAGTGACATTCTGGACTGCAAGAGGGAAGGCACTGGAGGACTCCCCAGGGACTCTCTGCGGGGAGAGCCAGGACAGAGGGTACCTAAGCAAGGGAGGGGACATCGCTGCCCTCATCTCCCTGCTCTGGGCTCAGTCGTGCAGGAGAGGAGGGACAAGAACAGCTCTTCTCTACACACGGCTTCTCAGAGGCAAATGCTACCAGGTCAGGAGAGGGCTCCTACGCCCTGGCACTGAGCTGCTGTGACAGGTACCTTCATGGGCTCGGAGCAAGTAGAGATGCTAGAATGCACAGAGCCCTGGAGAGCTTGCTTGGGAAACACCTCAAGGCCAGCAAATCCTTTGAACCTCAGAGCATTTTGGAGCCAGACTAAGGTTGCTCCTTCCCTAAAGCAGTGGCCCCAGGACATCCAAAGAGATGCAAACCCCTGAGAGAGGAACCTGGTGGCATTTCCCGCTTGCTCCTAAGGGCCTTTAGAAAGCAGATGGGAATGGGGAATCCATGACTTCACACAGGCACCTCCAACAGCAGAGGCATCAAGTCCTGAAGGAGAATGCCACTGTTGCTGCCTACAAGATTGCACTGAGACAGCAGCACACGCCCCATCTAACTGGGACTTCACCACACAAGGGTTTTTTTTTTTTCTATTTTTTAAATAAATCTTCCCAGCCGCTATACTGAGGGGAAGAAATAGCATGAACTTCACTAATAGTTCATAGATAAATTTTCTTTATGTTTCTGGCAATTCTCCATGATGTATGAACACAGAAACAAAGCCAGGGCAAGAACAACAACCACAAAGGGCTACCATGCTGAAGAGTGTACTTAAGAGGTCCCTTCCAGATGGGCATGAGCCAGCTCCCTGCCAGCGAGAACAACCCGGAGCAGCCCATACGGCTGGTGTCCGCGTGTGGCTGGCACAGCTCTGGCTGCGGTTAGATCTGCCAGGGCATCTGTGCACACGCCAGCCCTGCATCTGCCTTAAGCAAATGCTGTGCTCGTGCTTCTGGATAGGAGGTGGTTAACTGAGAGATAGCTAAGGCATCGAGCAGACCCAGCCTCTATCCTGCAGTAAAGGATGGCACAGATGTGCCTGTTTAGCTTAGAGAAAAGACTGAGAGGGGATCTGATCAATACGTAAAAATACATGAGGGGAGAATGTAGGGAGGATGGGGCCAGCCTCTTCTCGGTGGTGGCCAGTGCCAGGACAAGGAGTTATAGGTACAAGTTGAAACACAGGAAGTTCCATCTCCATGTGAGGAAGAACTTCTTTCCTGTGAAGTGACAGAGCCCTGGAACAGGCTGCCCAGAGAGGTTGTGGAGTCTCCTTCTCTGGAGATCTTCACACCCGCCTGGATGCCACCCTGTGCCCCGTGCTCTAGGTGTCCCTGCTGGAGCAGGGGGTTGGACTAGATGATCTCTAGAGGTGCCTTCCAACCTCAACCCTTCTGGGATTCTGTGACTAAGCTGCCTTTCCGTGCTTTTTTTACTCATCAACCTGTGCAGGGAAGCTGAAGCACATTTTCCTTTCTTGCTGTGGTCAGAGCAATTGAACTGCCGAAGGCCTTGTCAGCTAAACAAACCCTTCTCCTGCTTTATGTGCAACTGGCAGATTCGGAGCCCAAGTCACCCGAGCAATTCTGGGGGGAAGTGACCTTCACAGGCTGGGAACTTGGAGCCTGGTGAAAACACATGAATAGTTTAAGACTTCAAACAGAGTGTACGTAGTGTGATTTAAGATACTGGCCCAGCATGTCAAGGCTACTGCCCTATTCATCAACTCTTTGCTTTGAAGATTTCCAGCATTTAGTAAACAGTTGTACAATTTAGGGTTGTGAAAACAGCACATATGTTCCCAGGATTTCACATGGCCTTGTACATATAGCAGCTATGCAGCTTTTGAAAATAACATTTGACAAGAGATGATAGAAGTTTTAAAGAATCATGAATATGTCATAAAAAGCCATTTCAGTCCTAGCAGCTTCACAATGAAAATTTACATTCATGGGAAGAACAGACGACTGATTGCGACCTGTCCCGACTAGGCTCACTCATTTCACACTTAATCATTTGCATTTACAGGGCGCTTGTTATCCAAATTGGGGTTTGTTTGATATCTCAATTTTCTTTCCTAATAACCACACACCTATTAACAACATGATGATGTGTTCTACAAAACTCACAGCACAGACCAAGTCCGACCAGTCAGCAGCAGCAGGACAATATATATCTCCACTGTGAGAAGTCTCCACAGCAGATCTCCTTGGCAGCAACACATTTATGTACGTTCTGGATTTGCCCTGCCTGTCACCTCCCCTGGTGTGTCCGTGGGGGTGTGTTTGTGGGCCCAGAGGAGAGCTGCAGGCAGCACCCGTTGGTCCCTGACACGTGGGGCTCACGTCCCATCCCCACCTCCGTGGCCTGGACCACAAGAGCCTGCACAAGCAAAGGATGCAGGTGGCAAGTGAGGTTCTTCTCCAGTCAGCTCCCCGGGGTCCTTAGACAGACAAAGATGTCATTTCTCACTGCAGCAGAGATACCCTCCCCAAATGTCGCGTGCCTGGCCCTTGCCCCATGAGCAGCAGCACAGCACGTGGGGGGCTATTTTCTTAAGAAAGATGAGTATATTTTGACCAACCTCTTCCCCAGAAGGACTGCACTTCATCACCTGACCGGGCGACTGGACTCCCTGCCCCCCGCCATATCCCGTTCCTTCGGAGCATCTGGCCTGCAGAGCCTTAACATTATTTTTAACGCTGTATCAGCCCTGACAACACTCAGGTGCAGCAGACACAGGCCTGTCACACGCTCCTCCATGGAGGCGAATAAATGGGTGACCTCAACACCAGCGGAGAGGCAGCTTGTTCTAAACAGCACTGTTGCAAGGTGTGAGGTGGCAGCTCTTCTCCAGGCACAGGACAAGGAGCAGGGACCTCAGGGAATAGAATTCTGCACACCATGGCTTGCTTCATCAGAAATGTGTAAAACACAAATAGCATCCCCAAAATGCTGCTGCGTTCTCAAAACTGCAGCTAGCAAGACTTTTCAAAGAGGAGCAATTTCTTTTAAGCAAAGCTCTATCACAACATTTATTTTATCCTGCAGAGTTTTTGATTTTTACAGTATTCTCGAGACTATCAGGATTTTACATTCAGAGAATTTGCGTATTGGGATTTTGGCATTTGGGCCTGTTGATTGGATCCTAGGGAATTATGAACATTTGAGCTCCACTTGCCTAGGGCCGAACATACTAATTCCACTTCCAAATGTATGTCTCTTGGTTGGCAGCTCACCCCCTGCACTAGATAATCTCTACCTACAATTTAATTAAAAAATAATCATCCTTTGCCTCATTCATCTGGGACTGACTGCTGTGAAACACACATGCATACACGATCCATTACTTACGTGATACACTTTGCTGGACGGAATGAGCTCGAAAAAGGCTTGGAGGAGTTTTCCTGCCAAGCCTTTTTAACAAATGATCACGTTCGTTCACGCTGAGGGAGAAAAAAATATATATATATTAGTGAGTAGGCAGATAATTTCAAGATAAAAGTCAACTATATTTAAAGTACTTGGCAGCTTCAGCTATGTTGGTATTTAATGCTACGGTCATTTACAATGGCTGCAGCTTAAAAAATTATCATCTCTCTTCAAACTACATACTATTAAGAGCAACCTATAATGATGAAAATCCCTTTTTAAGGCCATTTTGTTTAAGTACCTGTTTAGTTGATCTATCCCTGATATCAGTATTATCATGATGGTGATGTCTACAAGCCTTTGACATGATTTGTACCAAACTTGTACCAATCTCAAGTGACAGAGAGCTTAAAAAAAAAGAGATTTCTGTTTTTGCTACTAGGCACACAAGTCGTGACAGTCCCAAGCTGGCTCAGAGAGAAGCAGCAATTCACTGTTATTTAACACATGGTAAAAGGTTATATCGCACCTGCAAAGTGACCTGAAACACCCAAAAGTGGCACCCAACACTAATTTTGTCTTCTGCAAAACACTCTCATTTCTACCTATACTGGAAGAAAAATCAAAACAAAACCACATTCCACCCAGTTTTCAGTTGAAACGTATTTTGCTTTGTTTACTTCATTTTGAAGGCCTGAAAAACTATTATTATATTTACAGAAAGTGAAAATACAAATGTAAGGTGAAAAATATAATACTCAGCTGAAAGAGGCAAGCTGACTAGACTCCTCATGCCTAGATAAATCATTATAACTACTGCCTACCCCAATACTTATGAGGGGTGAGGGGCAAAAAACCACCACCACACCACTCAACTCGAGAACTTTATGCCCAAAATAGGCAAATGATTTCTAAGACCCAGGTTTCAGAGCACTTAACTTATAAACATATAAGTCTAACAAAGATGTCCAAATCAGAATACAATGAAATAAATATTACATCCTATAACTGAAAGTCACTATGGGATTGAGTGTTTTTCTCTCCCTCTCTCCTTTTTTCTTGGCCTCACATTTGTTACTAATACTGTGATGGAGACCACGAATCCATCCCAGGACGGATATCCCATGAATATCGGATGGCTCTTTCCCATTTCTTCATCTTATTTGCATCACATTTACAGTGGATGCTTCCATCTCTGCAGACTGCTTGCTCTTTCACATCTTTTTTGTTGTTGAGGTTCAACAAGCAGTAATTCCACTGGTTATGCTGCAAATGTGGGTATGTATCTGGAACATGAACACTGATATCCTTCTTAGGTTAGATTGCAACTTCACATACATTTGATTTATGAAATGGAAATCCCAGTAAGCACAGCTGCTGCTGTCAGCACGCTTACAACAGCCTCAAACTGGCAACTCCCTTTCACAGAAGCCTTTTGCTAACTTCCAACAAGAAAGTAACTACAGAGAGCTCTGAGATGCCTACAACACGTAAGGCATCTATGTGGGTTTACATTTCACTTAAAATTCCATTAGGTCAATACCCAGACTCAGAGTGCTCTGTGCAGTGCCTAATGAGATGCCCAGGAAAGAAAGGCAGGAATCCTCCTATGGCCTCCAGTCTGGCCACCTGAACGAGGAAACTGTACAGCTTGGTCGCCCTTCACTAAAATGCTTGTAAGTGTTGGCATTTCCAGAAACTTTGTTTGTTTCCTCTCTTTTCCTTGGCACAGCAGAATCACACCTGTAGCTGATATGCCAGGTTCTTCTTCCTGTCTGAGATCAGTGGTATTTCAGTAACATAAAGCACAAGTTGACGACAGATTTGGAAATAAAATTACAGGTGCAAACTTGGGGCATCAGAGAATCTCTAAGAGCTCTTGAATCATTAGATCCACATGCATTAAAAAAAAAAAAGAAAAAAAAAAGGAAAAAAAAACTAAAAGCTTCCACTGAAAATACGGTTTCAGCATGGAAGACGGAAGCCTGGAAGATCTAACTGGTTAGACAGTCTGGCTGCTTGTAAGATAACCAAGTGCACACACAAGGAAACTCCCTGCTCCAACAGTGCAAAGGAGCAGGGGGAATGGGAAGAGCACACTGGGGAGGAGCAGGGGATGGCACGCACAGTGGCATGCACAGCGCGAGACACGAGATGTCTCCAGGTTGGAACAGGCTGACAGAGCTGGCAGGCTCTAGGATCTGTCTGTCCTGGCACGTGCACAACCCACTGATGGGGCATTGTGCAACCTCGGGCTCATGGCAGAGGACTCCTGAGAACCTGCAAGACTGGTAAGAGCAGCCAAACATTGTCTGAAACAGCTATTATCCTGAGGATGAAGGAAGACAAAAGAGAAAAATATTCCAAAAGCAAACTATTGTTATGATAGGAAAGAAAAGGCAAAGGGTTGGGGGCTTATGGACGTTTGTCCATCTTCTACATGTGAAGGAGAACAGGTAGGTTGGGTCAAGACTATCTCAACAGGAAAAGAATCAAAGGGCAGTATGAATAGACTATTAAAAAAAAACCAACCTTATACTGATCAGAAAAGATAGTTCTAAGGGATAAATATGCAACATTTTCCACATAATTCTGCTATCAAGAATGCTATTAACCAAGGCAGCGAAAGGCATGAGGAACAAATTCTTAACTGCCTGTCTACCACAGAGCAATGGTTAGAATGCAAGCTGGTATCTGCTCCAGGCCGTCTGTGGTTAGCTCTCTCAGCTTTATGTGGGAAGCGAGGAGGAAAGCGGGCTACCAAGGGACTTCTGAACAGGAGTGACACGGTGCTGCTCTGAGGAAGCCAAAGCGATGCTGTCTTTGATATTGCTAATTATAAATAACAATTTCATAACTGAAGTCACATCTGAGTTTCTCATTTGGGAAATTATATTGGCTCTCATATGTGCAAAGAAAGAAAAGCTCTTGGCGGAATTAAAGCATTTCTGGTTTAAGTATAAGTAACGATTAAACAAAGCCAGTTGAGTAGTGTAAAACAAACCCTTAACATAGAGAGGTAAATGCAACACGGCTCTTCTGAAATGGATAGGATTTTTATCAGAAAACAATCTCCCAATACAAAACCTGGAAGGAAAGAAAGGTCAAGTTAAGCGGATTTCTTAACAGGACCTTGGTATTCGCACTGTTATCAACAGATTCCCTGCTTGCAGGAGGGGTTTTCTGCTGCTTCCAACAGATAACAGAACAAACTAGAGCCATCTCCCTCACACTACGGTGCAAAACTAACAGCAACCTCAGACTGCTGCAAACAGGGCCAGGCCTTGCCCCCAGAGATGCCGTGCACAAATCAAGCCTGAGCATTAGTCACAGTTGTTACCGGTAATTCGGGTTTCCAGTCACCCTGGGCCAGTGTCTCCGAGTCATCCCAAAGCAGGGTCTACAGGTGGGCATGTTAAAATGCACCAGGGCAAAAGGATTAAAAATAGTAATAATAAAAATCAAGAGACTGGACACAGACTCTGAACACTCGATGTGTTTGTGCTTACACTCAGGACCTAAAGGACGATGTCAAAGTGAGGAAATGACAAAACCAGATACCCTCACAGGAGTCAGTGACCCAGAAAGTGACAGTGAAATATGCTGCAGTTGGTTGGGTAGTGACTTCAGAAGGGGTAAGGGAAACTCATCTTCTGTCTGTGATTACATGAAGGATAAAGGACAGACAAAATGATTTGAGTCAAACAAAATAAACAGCTCAAAGAGAATATTGAGGAGTGGGGGCGCAAAAAAGCAGGAGTTACTATGAAAAAGAGATTTTAAAAAGTAATTATCCAAGTCCTCTAACACCCAGCGAAGGTGCTGTCAATAAAAAAGAGAAGTGTGTGTAAGGAATACCTCTGTAAGGGCTTCCCGAGAGGGTCAAGATGGTTCCAGCCTGTCTGGAGATCTGCACTAACAACATGACACTCATTTATTAAGTGGATGACAAAGCAAAGCATAAACTAAAGGCAATGTAGTATTTCCTAATGATATTTTTTATTCCATGAATAAAACAAGCCTTCCATTTTGTAACTGAATTGCTCTAAGGTATTAACACAGACCCTAGTTTTATTTTTTTTTTTGTATTCCCTTCTCACCCCTCACAAAAGCAAATAGTCCTTAAATCCAGGCAACAAACATCTGGCTTTACACATTCAAATGAGGAGCATCAAAACAAACAGAATAATTCAAAGCTGACCACAAGATCCCGCTGGCTCCTTTGCTCAAGTAATTAAAAAAAGATGAGCTTCACCACCAATTAACCTACTGAGCACTAATTAGCGTTAATGAGGATTTGCGGTACTTGGTATGGCTTGACCCAGAGTGTCCCCCTGAGCCCGCTAATTGGCTGGTGGCAAAAGCAGAGCTCACAAAAGAGGGGAGGTTAAAGTGGATGCAGGTGTCCTTCTTAATACAGGGTCTTCCCTGAGAAAATGCAGGCATGGATCAGTTAAAAAAAAAAAAATCTGCGGGTCCCCCTTTGAGCAGAGGAAGGAGCTGTTGGGAGGCGAGTTCGTGCGTGGTTAGGATTGGTTAGCGGGACGCAGGACGCCCAGGCACACGGGCTGTGCAGAGACACGCGGCTGCCGCTGCATCTTGCCTGCTGCCCTTGTGGCTTATGGAAATCTCGACTGGATGCATGCCGGAAATGATCCAGTTTTGTTTCCTGCCTTCCCACTTTCTTGAGTGAGGCGTTACGCTAACGGTAACTGCAGCTAGGCAAACCCCACGAGTGGAAGCCAGCGGCGCGTGTCCTGCAGCCACCCGGGACGTCCAGCGAGCCAGCGGCACCGGAGCGCCTGCTCCGCGTCAGACGCATCCATGGGGAAGCCCAGAGGACACCGAAAGAGAACTGCAGAAGGGCTGAGGCTGCAAAGGACCTCTAGAGATCCTCTGGGACCTCTAGAGATCCTCTAGCCCAACCCCTGCTCACGCCGGAACAACGTACAGCTCTTTTCCTGTCTTGCGGATAACTATGAATTCCTTTGCCCCGCTGCCTGCAGGTGCAGTGTCACCATTTCCTCACCTCCATGCCCCTGCTGCAACATTAGCAACAGCTAAATTGTGGTAC